GCAAAAAACAAAAATAATCCGAACACCATCAGCAGAGGTGGATTGCAAGCCATGTACATGGGCGCCACCTTACCCTTACCCTTATCATGAGCCATGTTTCCTGCCAGCTACTAGATCTTGGCTGTGAGTCACTCGAGCACCGCCACTACGTAGATGGGAATGCATCTACGGCACCTTCTTTTCAACTCATTTGGGATTTTAGGCTGTAGCTGAGGTAATTTGAGCTTTGAGATGTTAATCAGCTGCTCCCGGTTGTAAAAAAAACAAAAAACACCTTGTTGTCATGGTTACGCATCATAAATGTTCAAAAGTAAAACTGTTTCAGTAAAAATCCTTCCAGCTTCACAGCATCCGATATCAGACAAAATAATCATTAAAGAAAGTGATTTACATCCAGAAAAAGTAATCAAAGTTTTCAAAAGTGATATGTCAGAATGAAAGTAACAGAGCTACTCCAATATGCAGCACCTTGAGCGGCACAATTCTAGAAAGTCAAGTTAAAAAAATTCAAGTTAAACACTTCACTATAAACATTTCAGGTTTCATTATATTGCTTTGAAAAGTTTTTATTTACATTTTGCCCAGCACCATGACTTCACTGGACCTGGGTTTGCATTTCTCCACTCCTGGTTGAGGAATCGACAGTGTGTGAAATAATATGTGTGTGTTTGTGTTTGAACTGACCTTAAACTGCTCCTCAGATACAACCACCAGGTGGTGTGAGCCGTGCATCTCAGGCGAGCGAGCCAGGTCATGTGCCACCTCCAGAGGCTCGGGGAGAGGAGCCCCATGACCGTCCAACACAACGACCCCAACAACAGGGGCACGGTGCATCAGCTGGATCTCTTTGGCTAAATTTATGGAGGCAAACATTTAAACATAATTTTTTTTTTTTTTTAATGCAAAGTGAGAGGACAGATGATGTTGCGAAGTCTGGGACTCACAAGGGTGAGCAGTCACAGGTTCATTTGCTCTTTGCTCTGCAGCAGGAAGACGGAGCATGTACGCAAACACACAGCCGCCGTTAGTCCCCGCCCACAGAGATGGCGTGTTATGTGAACCTAGAAGAAAATCAAGAGCTGCACATGATGAACAAAACCTGTTCTTTGTTTCTGAACATCATCTTTTATATAATGAAACTCACTGTCAGAGAGGAAAGTGTCAGCAAAGTAGAGCGTCCGTACAAGGCCGGTGAAGGAGTCATCGGAGGAGCGAGCTTCGATCTTTCTCTGGACGGGGGCCAGCTCCATTTCGGCCAGTTCAGCTTCCAGACGAGCGTTGGCCTCTTGGAGCTTCACCAGTAGGAAACAAAGATTAAAAACCAGCACATAGTACAGGACAAGACACACGTGCACAAGAGGAAGCTTGCTGGTATTAATACCAGCATTAACAATAGTGACGTCAATATGAATAATTCTAAAAAAAAAAAAAATTGTCTTTTATCAACATTAGAATTACCATACTATTACTATACTGTAATTATGATCAATGTTTTTATTATAATCCATGCAATCACCATCATGTAATAAAGCAACAACTCGTGCGCCTGCTCATTTTTGATTAGTTATTTTGTTTTTTTCATCCTGTGTATACATTCACATTAGCTGACTACTCATCAAAACCAAAGAATATATAAAAATAAGACTTTTTTTAATAGAAAAACTTGCCAGCAGGAAATTATCATTGTAAATCACTCCTACAAATGACCTTTTGTTATTACACACTAAATGCATTTCATTGTACTACAGAAAGTTTAGTTTACTTTGACCTTACAAAACCGTATCCCTTTTAATTTAAGATTAAGCACAGTTTCCTCAAATGATATGGGTGGACAGTTTACATATATATAGTTATTCATGTTGATGACCATCTTGAATTTTGACATGGTAACCCAGTAGGAACCTTTCATACACCTTTATGTAGCCACACACTAAAATGGAAGTAGGTACCTCACATTTTTCAAGTTATCATGCTCACAACATGCACAGATGGTAGAATGAATATAAACGTTGGTTACGTACTGTAACCCCAGATTCTATGAATATAGGCTTCGCCCTTTAAGGCTGTCGCTGATGGGTTTATCCCGTTATGCAGAGCATAAGCACTGAAAAAATTTAGTCCACGCCCACCTGCTGTGTGGGCCCCACCCGGTCCGTATAAATTACGTTAAGAGCGGGAAATCGGCTCCCAAAATAGCTTTTTTCTTCAGCCATTTAGGAGCCAGTGAGGCCTGACGCTTAAAGGGCTACGCCTATATTCATAGAATCTGGGGTTACAGTACGTAACCAACGTTCTATGTCATATAGGCTTCGCCCTTTAAGGCTGTCGCTGATGGGTTAAGGGCGAAGCGGATGTGGTCCTCGCCTCACTGGGTCCATTCGAACACAGTAAGAAGAGGAGCTTGCCCAAAAAACGTCTTGTCACTCAGCTCCCCGTGTGTATAACTACGCATCGCGTAATTGTGTACCATGCACAGACGCATGTTGTGTAACTATGCGTTCTGACAAAGCATGAACGCCCCGGAAAACTTTCAACGGAAAGAAGATGCTGAAAAGAGGGGGGGGGGGGCATGAACCAACTGGTTCATGGCTGAACAGTATAAACAGATTAATATCCATGAATTGATTATTGATCAAATGAACTGATTGGTAACAATAGTCATGAACTGATTAGTGACAATAGAACCAAAATCACAGACACGACTTGTGACTGATAACAACATCTCACACTGTAATGCATGCAGACAGAAGTGAGCTTAAACAGAGTTCCATGAGAACAACAATATTCATTCTATTAGAGCACTAAGGACAGAATGTGTCATGGAACGAGCCGTTACATCACGTAGGTAAAAGCGAATAAATGAGCAGGGTGTTGACCATGCAGCCGCAGTGCAAATGTCCTGCATTGACATACCATTATGCAGATCAGTCCAAGATGCGATACCCCTGGTCGAGTGTGCTTTGAGGTTGACAGGAGGCTCTAAATCTGATGCTCTGTAGGCTTCAGAAAAGGCCTCACACAGCCAGTGTGACAAGCGCTGGATGGATAACGGGCGACCTGCAGAAGCATCTCTATAATGCACAAACAATTGTTGAGTTTGAAACGCATTGCAGCTGTGCGCGCTATGTAACACGTCAACGCCCGCACCGGGCAGAGAAGATGAAAAGATGCTTCCTCTTCTGATCTGTGGGGGGGGGGGGAACCCCTCCAACGATATCACTCTTGATTTAAAAGAGCTCGTGATGTTTTAGGCATAAAAGCTGGGTTTGGTCTTAAATCAGCTGAGCTGCCCGTCAGCCTAAATTCTAAGGCATGACGAAGCAACAGAGAGGGCAGATAATTACTTACCCTCTTAGCGGGTGTTAAAGCCAGCAGCGGGGCTGTTTTAAGAGACAAGAATTTTAAGTGAAAACCTGATCCAGAGGCTCAATTGGAGCTTTGATCAGGGCTCGTAGGACCAGCGTTAAATCCCACTGTGGAGCAAGTGGGCATGAAGCAGGCCTGCGTCTTTGAACACCTTTTAGAAAAACGCTTCATCAGCGGGTGATTAAAAGCTGTTCTGTCTCCGAAACCTTCGTGGCAGGAAGAGATGACTGCAACGTACGTTAAAACGTACTGAATGCCAATTTCCTATCCATCAGCTGTTGTAGAAAGACAACACGCCGCCTAAAAGGCATGAGGTGGCCTCTAAACCTTTCTCTGTACACCAGCGCTGAAAAGCCGTCCCCTTTGATGTGTACAGAACTGTGGTAGATGCAGCACGTGAATCTTGAATTGTGCACACTATCTCCTGAGGGAGACCCATCCTCTCTAAGTGGGACCGCTCAGCGGTCAGACCCACAGGTGCTGACCTATTTCTGGGTAACTCCTGATCGCTCCTCCTGCCTGAAGGAGAGCATCCTCCCTCCACGGCAGTTTCCACGGCGACCCGACAACAGACGTTGCAGGCCTGGGAACCATGGTACGTTCACACGCTCGGGAGCCACCAGGAGAGCTTTCAATCCCTCCTCCTGAATTCGGTTCAGGAACCGTAAAAACAGAGGAGGTGGGGGAAAAAACACATACAAAAGCGTTTTGGGCCACGGGCTATGAGCAAATGCGTCCCCCCCCAGCGATGGATCGTCTCGCGGGCTCAGGGAAAACCATAGTTGACACTGAGCGTTCTCTCGCGTCGCAAACAGGTCCACAGCTGCTTTGCCAACTTCTGCCACGTCTGAAAACATCAGATCTGGACGGAGGGTCCGGTCCACGTGACGTGGGCCGCCCCTGGACATCACATCTGCCCCTCTGTTCAGAACACCGGATATGTAAACCGCTCTAATGGAGAGCAGGTTTTGATGAGCCCAACACAGTAGCGTTCGCGCAATGTGTAACATCTGGGCTGAACGCACACCCTTGATGGTTATGTACGCAGCAGTCACCATGTTGTCTGTGTGAATCGACACGTGTTGATTCTATAGCACGGGAGCAAAGTGTTGAATCATATTCAGTACTGTGCGACACTCCAAAACATTGATGTGGGCTGATGTGTGGTGGGGCCACAGCGCCCCTACTGCTTGAGATAGGCATGTCCCCCCCCCAGCCTGACAGCGACGCGTCCGTGAAGACTGACCCGTGTGTTGTGGGTCTGCTGAGGGGGACTCCCTCTGACAGAACCAGGGTGTTTCCCCAGAGTCGGAGGTCTGCTCTCACAGAGGATGGGACAATGATCATCCGTCGTTTTGTTTTACTGGATCCACATGCAGACGTGCAAAACCACCTCTGGAGGCGTCTCATGTGTAACAAACCAGCGGAACCACTGTGTAAATGACATCATTCCCAACAGCTTCATGACGGAGACAGCTGTTATCACTTGCCAGGTCTTACGTGGCGGAGTTGACTTTAAAAAAGTGTCGAATCTAGTTTGTGATAAACGAGCTTTCATGGTGGTTGAATTTAATTCCACTCCCAGAAAAACAAATGTCTGGGCCGGGAAAATCGAGCTTCCTTCCAATTTATGGCGAAGCCCAGATTTAACAGGTGTGATGTCAACACCTGATCCTGCATCAGCGCCTCCTGTCTGGAGTGACAGGAGCAGCAGATCATCCAGGTAAAACAAAACTCTCGTCTCTGTGTTTTAGGATGATCGGTATGCGTTCTCTGGATGTTATACAACAGATCCAAAAAACGGTCTCATCCCTCCGATCCGTGAGTAAAAACCCTGTGTTTTCTCTCCGTTGGGGGATTCTGTAGATTACTTTTATCAGAAACACTTGGACTTCTGCATTTAGGGATGAGATTTAGTCTGATGATGACAGGACCGTTTTTATAACTCCTCTGAATGGAGGGGTTCGGGTTGCAAACTGTAACTTGTAACCATTTGCATAAAACCTTGTCCATCCATCTGAAAAACGGCGAGCATGTTTTAGCCACTCTACGTAACGTTCGTAGGGTGAACGTGCGTTAAGTGATGTGTCACGTTTTGTACGGCTGTCAGCAGTCCACCCCTCAACCGCCGTCATGCGTCACAGGAATGTTTTCTGTGTGATCCAAGGCGAGGCTTGTGCTGAAGGCGAAGCGTGTGACAGCTGATGACGCGGTGGGGCTGTGCGTTTGACGTCGCTGTGCGAACGTTGAAAGGCGGAAGGCGTGACTTCATTTACGCCGCGCTGTTGGAGTGAAGGCTGCTAGCCCTGCGGGAGCACACGTTTTTCTCTGGAGGGACGCGCGCCGCTCTCGCTGGAGGGGCACGCGCTGGAGGGAGACGGGACTCATTACCGGGTTCTTTCAGTTGCTTCACGTTTAAGCTGCCGTGAGCTGCCGAACGCTGAGACGCGGTGGGTGACGGCTGCCCGCGTTTGATTCGTTGAGACGGGTGTCGCTTCTTGTGAGAGAGAAGGACCTCCACCCGAACAAGCCTGCGGACCACATTTATACCGATGTGAGCCGGTTAGCGCCGGGCAGCTGTGTGTGTGCGCCAGCATCAACGCAGCGCCGTTGGATGGAGGCTGTTTCATCCTTGTGATCGACTCGTCATGTCTAGAGCGGCGGTGAGTTAAAAAACCTTTAATTAAGGACACCGGCTC